TTTTYGTCGCTTTTGCGACCTWCTTCCACTACAAGCAAACAGTGCGTCATTAATTGAGGAAAACTAAAAGTCCTGATACATGCAATACGGTTTTTCTTGACGTTTTTGGAAACATATATTTTTGATTGAGAATCGCAACATGTTCAGTGTCGATCCAAGGCGCCAATGAATTTTAGCGATCATCTTTGATCAGAGCTAGTTTTAGTYCTATAAAGGCGACGATGATCGATGATGGTTCAAGTCGGTCGATTCGATCTAACAGCAGTGCATCACTTAAGATTTTGGAAAGTTTCCACTTAAACAGTCCGTGAGACTGAAGAGAAGTTTTCATTATCGCCTAATTTGAGTATGGCAACACCGCTTAATGCTTACTTCATGCTTTTTATGAAAGTTCTACCAAGTCAGTTTTTATCATATTTTGATGAACAGTCACTATACGGCTAGATCTATTCAGAATTTTTCTTGCTATTGACCGACAACATACCGATCGTCTCACTTGCGCATTAAATTATTTTGAATACTAGCTTTTCCCTCCACTTAAAAGTCTATCAAATTAAACGTTTAATGATTTGTGTTTTGATCGATGTATATTACACATAGCCATCAACACAATTTAGGAAAGTAAAGTTTCAGTCTCTTACCTTCGGTAATCTGTTGTCGACAAATGGAAAGTGTGGTGCAATAATGGTGCAAGATGGTGCAACTCGAGACTGAGAGGGGGGGGGGGGGGGGGGGGGAGGTAGTCAACTCGTTACTATCGTTACTCCGCTACTCGTTTTAGTAACAAACTGAGTTCTCGTCCTCTCAATATTTTTTTGAAAAACAACAACTCTCAATTCTATTACCTTACGCAAGTTACCTAGCTGTGCCAAGTTTTATCATTGTTTTGAATTAACAGTAACGTTTAGCGTATTGAACATGTTCAAACAAGAAGAATTTTTCACAATAGTTTTTAAAAACACACCCACACATATCTCAGATGTTATGGCAATAACTAGTGCTTCTTTATGTTTTTTTTATTGTGTAGCTCCACCAAGTTTTTATTAACATATTACAATTCGGTCGTCGATCTATTTCATTCGGACGAGGTCTTTGTTATCAAACAACAATAGCGATCGCCTCACTTGCGTATTATTATTTTGCATACTTTTCCCACCTCTTGAAAATGGATACAATTAAAACGTTTAACGTTTGCGATAGAAAGACCAATTGAATTATATATATAGCCAGTCAATTGAAGAAATTAGTTTTCTCTTACCTGTCAAAAATTGCAGTTATTTGGTAAAATTAAAAAAAAAAATTCATAAAATTTAATATTCAAGGTTGCTACCGGCTGGATGTTCGCAGTTTGTCAACATTTTTAATATGGTCCGAGCAAAATCGAATCATATGGTCTATTTCAAAAAAGATTTTGTCGGAGAAAAGTCCATGGGTTTTGCCTGTGATGGGAAATATTTATAATGCAAGGTAGTCTATGATAAACATTGGCCTCACACTGTCTCTATTTCCAAGAAAGGTGAACCCAAAAGTAAAATTTTGCATACAAAACATTGAGTGTAGGTATTCCATTTGGTCGCGTTCATGTAATCTCAGTTAGACTAATTGGGTTGGTCATTGCTCCGTTTTTTTGAAATTGGTGTATGTTCTGCATGGAGTCATTCCGGCAAACGCCAACTAATTAACCACATAAATATTCATTGAAACCTTGTAAACTATCTTTTTTGCAAAACTACGGTAAAAGAAGTTTTCGTCGCTTTTGCGACCTTCTTCCAATACAAGCAAAGAGTGCGTCATTAGTTGAGGAAAACTCAAAAGTCCTGATACAATACGGTTTTTCTTGACGTTTCTGGACACATTTTTGATTGAGACTTGCAACATGTTCAGTACTGTCGATCCAAAGACTGCAATGTATTCTAGCGATCATCTTTGGATCAGAGCTGTAGTTAAGTTCTATAAAGGCGACGATGATCAATGATGGTTCAAGTCGGTCGATTTGATCTAACAGCAGTGCATCACTTAAGGTTTTGGAAACGTTTCCACTTAAACAGTCCGTGAGACTGAAGAGAAGTTTTCATTATCGTCTAATTTGAGTATGGCAACACCGCTTAATGCTTACTTCATGCCTTTATAAAAGCTCTATCAAGTCAGTTTTTATTATATTTTGATTAACAGTCACTATACGGATATATCTATTTCGAATGAGGTCTGACATGCTTCGATTTTAAATTTTATCTTTAGAATTTTTCTTGCTATTATATTGACCGACAATCGTCTCACTTGCGCACTAAAAATTATTTTGAATACTTTTGGCCACCACTTAAAAGTCTATCAAATTAAACGTTTAACATTTGTGTATTGATCGAATACAGCTGTAAAGTATATTTCCCCAAGCCATCAACACAATTTAGGAAAGTAAAATTTCAGTCTCTTACCTTCAGTAACCTGTTGTCGACAAATGGAAAGTGTGGTGCAATAATGGTGCAACTCGAGACTGAGAACACGTGATTGCGCGGCCGTGACGTCAGCACTTTATATGAATATTGAGGCTTAAATTTACGCGATAAACGGGCAGACCTATATTACCATATTATTCATTGCAGAAGTCAGCTCTATTTAGTATGTGAATGACTATAAATCTAAATTAAATTGTTTAAAAAGCCAGGCGAGGCTGCCACAGTTTAAGGTAGAATAAAACGAAAGATAATCCGAATAATCTCATTTTGACTGATATTCAATCGAAAATGGATGGACAAGATGGAATCAAAACGCTATATTTCGATTTAAATTGTATATGTCGATTAAATTGTTTAGTCCTCCTCTACAATTCGGTCTGTTGATCTATTTATTTTGGACAAGGTCTTGCTATTGAACAATAATAGCGAACGCTTCACTTGCGCATTAGTATTTTGAAAGTTTTTCCCACCTAATGAAAGTCGATCCAATTTAACGTTTTTAACGTTTACGATAAAGCCCATTTAAATTATATCTCCACCTAGCCGGTCAATAGAAGAAATAGTTTTCTCTTACATACCTGTCAAAAATTACAGTTATTTGGTAATAAAAGAAAAATATTCAGAAAATTATTCAAGGTTGCTGTCGGCTGGACTTTCGCAGTTTGTAAACATTTTTAATATGCTCCGAGCAAAATCGAAAGATTTTATATCATATGATCTATTTCAAAAAAGATTTTGTCGGATAAAAGCCCATGGGTTTTGCCATTTGATGGGAACAGAAGTACATAACTTATGTACTTCTGTATCTGTATAATAATTTTAATTCAGAAAAACGTATTTTATTCAGAGAAAGATAAAACAACTGCTTTGGGACAGTATTGTTAAATATAACTGACGAGCTTACGAGCGAACACTTTCTATCCTTAACCTCGGACATTCCTGTTCTTGCCCTCACAGATCTCAATTCTACACCTTATTTTCAGACTATTCGCGGAAAGACAAAACAACCTGTCGGTGACAGTCTATCTTGCGTTGATGTTAAACATAATTTACGATAGTTCGTATTGAACTCTTGAAACGAAAACGAGGCATTTTCTATACTTCATCGTCCAGTTTTCATCAGTTCTTGGCCTCATGGTATTTATTTAAAAACACCAGATCTCAGTTCTACGCCTTATGGCTGGCATTAAAGTATGCTTGAAAACGTTTCCCATTCCATTCGAAAGTCTTGCCGCGGTTCACGATTGTTATTCGACTAAAATGCCAACTAATACTGCGAGCGGTTGTCTGCWGTGTTTGTTGAGGCAAGTCACTACATGAATATTCATTGAAACGTTTAAGCTTTCTTTTTGCAAAGTGAACTACGGTAAGAGAATAAGTTTTACGTCGCTCGTTCGACTTTCTTTTAGTACAAGCAAACAGTGCGTCAATAATTGAGATAAATTCTGAAAAGCCACGATACATTATACGGGTTATTCTTGACATTTATGGACACGTATTTTAATGTATCCGAAACCGATTGAGAGTGGCAAAATGTTCAGTGCCGATCCAAAACGCCAATAACAGTCTAGCGATCATCTTCAGAGCTATAGTTTTAGTTCTATAAAAGCGRCAGTGATTATTTCGGTCGATTCCATCTAACAGGGCATCACTTTTAAATGTTAAAACATTTTGGAAACGTTTCCACTTTACAGTTCGTGAGAGCGGCTGAAGAGAAGTCTTCATCATCGCCTAATTTTGAGTATATGGCAACACCGCTTAATGCTTACTTCATGCTTTTTATGAAAGCTCTACTATACCAAGTTTTTCTGATATTTTTGATTAACAGTCACTGTACGGCTAGATCTATTTCGAACGAGGTCTGATATGCTATTGACCGATCGTCTCACTTGCGCATTAAATTATTTTGAATACTTTTCCCACCACTTAAACGTCTATCAAATTAAAACGTTTAATATTTGTGTTTTTATCGATTAAAGCATATTTCACATAGCCATCAACACAATTTAGGAAAGTAAAGTTTCAGTCCGCTTACCTTCAGTAACCTGTTGTCGAGAAATCAGTGGAAAGTGCACGTATGGCAACTTTTTGCACGAGGTTGGACACGTGACTGATGCAGAGGTGTTTGATGGGTAATCACAGGTAACCCATGCTAGGCATTTTTACAAGGGAATGCATGCATGCGGGGGGAGGGGGGGGGGGTCCCTAAATAAAAAGGGCGGGGTTCCTCGTCGAAAATTCTGAAGATGACCCCTAAAAGGGACCTCTATTGTGAGATGAGGGGCGTGGCAGTGCTGAAATTTCACCCCTAAGGGACCAATCAATAACAGGTCATTTTGTTTTGGTTTCCTAATTTTATTTATGTTTTTGCACAAGTATAAAATGCCGCCGGCTTGAGATCAATCATATCAATCATCTTATTAGCAGTTATGGTTGTCTTTGATCTTATAATGACGTCTCAAAGTCGTCATATACCGTTAAAAGTGACMACAAAACTCAGTTGGTGGGAATTCTCGTCATTATCACCCTAAGCGGGACCAAAATACCGATTTCAACCCTAAAAGGGACGACGAGGAACCACGCCCTTTTTTAGGAATTTCTCTCCATCCCCCCACCCCCCCTTACATTGTAAAAACCCTAAATAGCAATATTCTTGAGTGAGCTACAATGGTGGACTTATTCATACGGGACAAGCTCATATTTTTGTACCTTTCAGAGATATATTGATTTTATTCACGAGTTGTTTGCATCATACAACGAACGAGCGAAATAAACTCTATATACCACATAAATTCACTTATACGCTTAGCCTGGTTTACATGTGGGGCGCTTATCATGATTAGAGTTTAGAGGAGATATAACTAATTCCAACCTCAAATATATTGCACTGTAATTAAGTAAGTCCTTTCCTTCTGGGAGCAGTTTATCTAAGTCCACATATTACCAGTTAAAAAAAGCTAAAAGTACGATAAGCCGATACGTCGCAACAAAYAAACAGAAAAAACTGAAGATTGAAAACTACGACTTTTTTCTTTCACTCATGGATTTCGGGCTACCTGTAGGTATTTTACTCGGCATTTATTCGGCAAGGGTTCGGAAGTCAATAACTTACCGTCTGGAAGGTCTGGACGTTTGCAGTTTGTCAACTTTCTCTCAGAGGTAATAGAGTACTTATCTATTCTTTTAGGTGAGTATAAGAACAGACAATTATAGTATTCTAGAAAAATAGTTTTGTAGCGTAATTTATCGGTCTTCGATTATAAGCTTATAATTAGACCGATCTGCTTCGTGATTCTTACGTAACTTAAGGTAACTTAAGCTTAATTGCATATCTTAAACGTCGTGTAAAACATAAACCTTTATAGCTTATTAAATGATGACTGAACAATGATGGTATCACCATGAAATTATCAGTTAAATTTCAATCTCTTTACATTA